GCCATGTTCTACAAAGAGGAAGATTTAGAAATAAATTATGATAAGTTCTGAATAATCACATTTGCGAAGCATCCCATATCTGGAAGTGGAATGGATATGAACTAGATCAAGTCAGAGCATTCAAACATTTGGGAATAGTCTTTCATGCTGCTGGTAGCCAGAGGTACACTTAGACTGTATTTCGTAGTCAGATCTGGCCATACAAGCCTTTTATTGATTTAGAGACACGGTATATGCACCAGCAGCACTTAAATTATTTATAGCCAAAGCTTGAATACAGCTGCTTTATGGAGCTTAGATACACCCCATAATAATAATGCAGCTTTGGAGTCTCTGCAATCGCCATTTTTGAGGAACGTATTCCAAATATCTCTGTCCCAAATATCTTTCTGCATAAAATAACAGGTGGAATCAACATAGAGACTGCAATGTGGGTAAACTTTTTAAATTATTGGTAAAATTATTCTTTTTCCATACCAGTTTGGTTTCCTTAATTTTAGCAGACATTTTTGTTACTAAATGGAGTGGTTCTTCGGAACACCCTGACCATTATAATTCAATTAGGAAATTATTAAAATTGGAACTAAGTAAGAGAGCCTTTGATTCTTAATGTCACCATTTTTTATTTTTATTGCTTACCATTGGTGGTTTATATAATTTACATTTTAATGGTTTTAAGCTTATTACAACTGTTTACTTGCACTGTATAACTGTGCTGTGCATTTTTATTGGTATTATGATTGTAACTCACAAAAAAAAATTATCAGTTGCAATGGGTAAAAAAAAAATAAATGCATGAATGATTGATTGAGTGAAAGAAAGAAAGAAAGAACAACTATGTCTGCCAAGAGGGATTTATGCTGACAATCAATTTATTAGTTCCTGCAGCTAGATATTTAAGTCAAGATTTAAATATTAAAATACAAGACAGCAATAACATTAACATGCTTTAATGCATTACCAACAATAGTATTGGAAGAGAAATATAAGAATATCCGATATGAAATCATCTTTGCTATGTGAGATGACTTGTGGAAACTGTTGTTCCTATTTTCTTATACGTTATTTTCTATAAGGTCATTTCTTCACAACATATATTCTGGCTCATTATTAAATTATGTCAGATAAAAATGACTTCATCTTTTTAAATGTCTCTAAATATTGTTACATGACCTGTAGAATCCATAGTGATTAATTGCTTAGTATTAATTTTTTACTATTGCTCTAATTTTTAGCAATTTTACTAATTCTGTGTTTCTGTAGTTTATGACTATAGTCGATGACTGCAGTAATAAAGTGAAAGCTTGAATTCATTGGTAGGTTTGAGATAGTAATGATCACAAGAATATTGTATTAACAGGATCCTTTTCTAGTTTGTAAGCCTTCGCCAAAGATTCAACTAGTTATTTTAAATCAATATTCTCTTCAACACCCCACACAGACTTCCAACTCCCTCCTTAAGAACAATATGCAGCATGCTTTGGAAACATATTGCTCTCTAGATATTGTAGCTCCCAGCACCTCTTACTATTAGCCATTCTGGCTTCATTGTTCAGAACTGTAATTCAGCAATATCTGGAGGACCATAGGCTTAGCCTTTCCTATACCCCAACTTTCTGTGAGGGGTTGAGAGTTCTCCATGTGAGCAATCTATTAGACACAATATTTCATAGTTAAGAAGGATGTATAGTTATGTGATATTGAAAAAGAGCCAGATTCTCTGATTCCCCCTGTGCTGATGAAATAGAAATTACCACCCGATTAAACTGCAACTGAACCAGAGAGAATTAAAGCAAACATTTATCTCCTTAGCAAAACCTTTAAAATAGATGAATAAGCAAAATACTCTTTTTCTCCACTTTTCTTACTTTTACTAGTTCAGTTAGGCTTCGCTGGTCACCTTTGATGGATAACCACTTTTGACTAACTATTCTGGTAAGCCTTTCACTGACATCACCTTAAATTATGCAACAGCTAAGCTTTGCAACTGATTTGAAGAAAAATTATTATAATACTTGTTTTACCTTTTGTTTAAATGAGAATTTTCTTCAGAATTTTACAAAACATTTGGTATGCAAGTCTGTTGAAGAGTTAGTTCATGTACTAGATAATTTGTATTGTTTTTTATGTTATTACTTGTGAACTGCCCAGAGTCACTTGGAGTTGGGCAATGTCTTCCATTGGGCAATTGTCTCCCGTTATTGATCCACCTCCCACATCTAGAAAGCAGCATTTATGGATTCCTGCACACTGGAATGGATCATTCTCTTACCTTTCAAATATGAAATGTTATTCTAACTCAATTATCTACGTTATTGTCTTCCCTTTTTTCTTTATACTCATTAATAGAGATTACATAGAGAAAGATATGTGTAACACAAGGTGTTTTATTAGATTCCAGAGTGTTGGCATCAAAGCACACAACAGGAATCCATAAGGAATTATTGTAAGGCATGATTATATATTTAATATTTGTCCTGATAATGATTTTTACATTTATTTTAGAAAATAGTCATTTAATTATTATCCCTCTATTTAGTCTGAAAACTGAAATTTATTAGCAGGATCATCTTCTTGTTATTATAATTATTTAATAGCTTAGAATGTACAGCATGCCTTGCTTATGCTAGCTATGGTGGTAGCTTTCCAAAAGTCAACCTTACGCAGTAGTGAGGGCTCTGTGGCTGTAAAAATATTGAATTAGAATTCCTAATCAAGATGGTTAATGATGAAAGATGCAGAGAGCAACATCTGAAGGACCTTGCCACTGTGAATTCATAGTAAGGGCACAATCTCTTAGTCACCTTGTTGTATGATTTCTCTTCTTGTGGTATTTTTAACTCCCTTTTGTGTTTAGAATCTGGGTTAGCCTCATTAGAAGTTCATATGGTGCTTTCTGTCTCATATTCTGGCTAAAACTGATTTCCAGTTATGGATCTTTAGCTTCCCTGATTCTACAAGATAGTTTTCCATCATTCTAGAAGAACAGGATTGAATGTAGACATGATGGCTTATCAGCTTAGTATTTGGCTTCACTTGGCCCTAAGAGTATCAGGATGACGCTAAAATGGGATATTCCAGTATTATCTCCAGAAAGATTGGAATTTCCTTTTTAATGGTGGTGGCTTATCTGGGAGGCTGCTCACCAGCTAATTATTTATTCAACCTCTTGGGCATGTTGCACAGGGGAGACTATTTGCTGGCCAGATACACTGCCCTGCCTTCCATGCTCCCGGAAGGGAGATACAACAATCTTCTGATGCATGACTGCCTTACGTCTTTGCGGAAGAGGGAAATTAAATTAGTCACACGTGTTTTATTGAGATGCCTATTCTATGCATTCTAGTGCCCAGTCCTAATAACTACTTGTTATCCAAGTTTTTTGATAGGTCTGATGAGTTGAATACTTGTTTTATACTTGTTGACTGGTGATTAGATACCTCCAGATGGGTTGCTAAATTTTCTTCTATTGCCATTGCTGCTTGGAAACCTTTGGTATACTTTTGAATGTTACTCTTTGTGTGTGTGGTGTGCGCGCGCGCATGCACGCACATCTTATCTAGTATTGACACCTTATCTAGTATTACAGAAAACCTGACACTGTTTCTAGTATTACAGGGGGGAAAGCTCTTCTTCCCATTTCTCATCCCTTAACAATAACCAAATTATAAAAAAAACTCAATCAATCTTACTCAGCAAAAGCTTTAAGAATACCAGTAATAATAACCTATATGTTTTAACCTTAAACCAATAAGTCCATTTTACATTTTGACTTATAACTTTCTTTAATAAGTAAAACATAAAAGATTTGTCCCGATAGGCATAAAGAATATCAATAATAATAACATAAATATTTTAAACTAAATCAAATAAGTCCCTTTTACATTCTAATCTTTGTAGGTCAATGTAACTTCTTTCTCCATATCACTCTTGTAGTCAAAATACTTTTTTAAGTCCATTTTCAAATCCACAACATCTTTTTCCATATCTTCCATATCACTTTTATAGTCTGGCAGTTTTTTAAAATCCATTTTAAAATCCCTATTCAAATCATCCACAGCCTCTGTTTTATACAATAGAATCTTTTCTTCTTCTACAACCTCTATTAGATCCACTTTGAAAGTATCAGAAAAATTTAAAAGTCCTGAATACATTATTCCCAAACAGACTTTATTTATTCTATAGTAAAATAATATTCCTCCAGTATGTTAGTAGTATCTTCTCCTTTAATTGCTCTCTGGTTCCTTCTAGTTCTCCAAACCACGACTTGGACTCAATGTTTCCTGTGACTCCCAGAGTGCTCAACCCACTGGAGATAACTATATCACAGGGAACATCTGTAAGGAGTAGTTGTGGGTGATCCAGTCATCTCCTTTATCCGGAGATGGCTTCAAAGAGCCAGAGCCTGCACCGACTCCTCTTATCCACTGCGGCTGTCAGCTCCACAAAAAACGGAGCCATCTTCAATCTGCCATTACTTGCCCGGAAGTCACTTTCCTCACAGTCCTGAAAACATCCCTCTGTAACTTTTCTGAAAAGATTCAGATAAGCCTGGAAAGCAGCAATAGATGAAGTTTTGATGGGTGCAGAAGCTTCCTTTGCCCTTACTCCAGAGCCATGCTCCCTCATCATCACCAGGTTCATTGTGATTATTTGCAGATAGCTTGGTCTTTAGACTGGATTTAGTTCTCTACCTCTTATTATTTAAAATCAGGTTTAGTTTTATTTTAGAAATAAGTTTGTGATGGCATCAATCTCACTTGGCATTAATTTCCAAACAGTTGAATTACATTGTCCCTAAAATTGAAGGCTTTCAGTCACCATAAACTGAAACAGGTAAGAAGTTATTTAATGGTCAAAACAAACATTTCTTTCCATTGGGTGTCCTTGAGGATGTATTAAATATGTAAGCAGTGTAAAAGTACATCTTTATATTTAGATCAATGATTTTCTCTTTTCTATCCTAACTGGTAACATCCACTTTTTTTTCTTCTTTTCAGTGGGATGGAGTTGGTCCTCTCCCCGACTGTGCAGAACCACCAAAAGGAATCCAGATGCTGTGGCACCCATCCATAGTCAAACCCTACCTCACACTTCTCTCTGAGTGCTCAAATCCAGATACACTGGAAGGGGCAGCTGGTGCATTACAGAATTTAGCTGCAGGTAGCTGGAAGGTATGAAATCTGCCTTCACTCTGCACTTGGTCAGACTCTTAAATCAGTATAGATGTCTTAAGTTGAGTAATTAAAAACTAATTGGAACACCAGTTGGAACAATCGCTTTTCCTACTGTAAGATCAATAAGGAATTCTTGCTATTAATAAGACCACAGAACATATCAGTTGTAGGATTGCCTCTAGGATTTACCTATCTGAACTCAATTTCTTTATATTGTTAATGATTCGTATTAATAATGTACCAGCCAAATTCCCTCCTTTTATTCTGCTTGCTTGCTTGAGTTAAATAAAACCATTTCATTGTGGAGATACCCAGTTGTATTTAGCTCCAACTAACATCCTTGCTGACAGCTTTTGGAAATGATCAAGGATAAATGAGAAAACAGAGTATAGGTTCCTTATCTGAGGTTGAGAAATAACCTTAAGCTGCTCTGTTGACTAAATGTGAGGTAGGGATTGATTCTGCAGAAAATCCTTCCTTAAAACTTAATTAGTTCCACTTCAAGATGTATGGGCTCAGGGAGTAGAACTGTGATGTGATTTAATATATTTGTTTCCATATTATGCCAGCATATTTTATTTATGCTATGAAGCTGTTAATTCAGTATACTAATCTATATGGACCAGGCAATAGAAGACATGATTTATCCTGCTAGAGCTTGCTAAAAATAGCCTATATATCAATAAGATGCATAGCTTGTCATGTCCAAGGTAAGCATGTTTGACCAAACAATCTTTCTTTGAAATGGGAGGTTGACAAGCAAAATTGGTACAACTGAGCAGTGAATGAAATAATCTGCTTTCCCAGAAAATTCATATAGAATAAGCAGTGTCACCCTAAGCTTCTTCATTCTGCCTTGTCAATTTGCCTAAAATGTATTTGACCCTGGAGGATGCTGTATCCTGAAGGGGGGAAAATGCCTAATTATATATAGACTTATATAGACTTTGCTAAAGCAATTTCATTTTAATCTGCCACTTGTCAATAGGGGGGCCTTTTTATGATGTAGAAAATATTTATTCACAGCAATCCAATTGAAAATAAAGCTTTCTTCATGTTAGCCAGAACATTCCTTCTAGATTAAATACCTCTCAGGGACAGCCAGCAAAAGTATATAATATAAAGTAACCATATCATTAGGAAAGAGTGCAGGTTCTTTCAGATATTAATATGCATCTGAAAATATTTAGGCTCAGTAATGGAAGGAAATACATAATTACATGTGTTCATTTCCCTCCCTAAAAAAATTACATCCTTATATGATTTTTGTGTAAAAAACCTGGTCCTCTAGTTAGATAAGCTGGTTAGTTGCCTGACAAGTAAATGGTCTGGGGGGACCGGATACTCTAACAGTGTGTTAATTGGAGAGTACAGGCAGCCCCATGGGTGTTCCTATTTTGTTTTTGAAAAGAAGGGCGAGGAACCCCTTTCCCCTCAGAAGTTGCCCAGTTACATCCCTCCAATTCCCCTCATGTCAACTCTGTTGTCTAAGATTGCTAGGTGTTGTAGTTCAGCTATATCTGGAGAGGCACCTGCTCCCCATTGCTGCTTATGAAGAATAGGGGAGAAATGATTAACTTGATCTAACAAATAATAATAGCAGCAAAAGAAATCAATTGCAGACTATCTGTCTACCTCTTTCACTTACCTACTTCCATATAATGTATCCCTGAGATAGTTCACAAGAATATATTTTAGGGAGGAAAGGGGAAGTATTGCTCCTCTCCACCAGTTTTCACCCTGTTACTCATCTGGCAAATCACTACATTGCATAGTGAGAGTAATCACATGTCTAGTACTCCCAAAGAGCAGAAACTGTCTTAGGAAGGCAGTTCATTTATTTACTAATATGACATAATTTTTCAGCCTGCTTTCTAAAAGCAAGCTATGGATGATGGACTGTTGGTGGGGCAGTGATAAAGGACTTTGTTAAAAAAATGTCTAGCAATGGTGGTGGAAGGGATCATTACCCTTCTGAACATGCCCTTCAGGCCCTGGCACCCTGCCATTCTTGGTATACCACAGTTATTGGTTATGTAGTACTTTTTTTCTGCCACCTCCCACCTTGCCGGAAGAACCAAATGCCTGAGCCAGGCTTCTTCCCTTAACACCAGTTGTGAGAGAGATGGGACTTTCACAGCTTAGGCAATTAACTTGCCTGTAAGCTGGCCATAGCTTTGAGGCATGTAACCTGAGAACAGCAGCCCTCTCCACTTCTGAGGAGATGAAAACAAAAGGATCTATGACTGAAACATTAATTTTATTAAAAATAAGAACAAGGGGGAAAAAGGTGTTTTCTTTTACTCTGAAGTAGCCAGTGTCCAAACAATTGGGCAGCATAAGGCATTTGGAACTTCAAACATCTGTCTCTGTAGACTGCTATTGGAGAGACTGGACATGGACCAAGATGGGTTGGATCTGAGGTTCTTAGATAGAACAAAGCATGTAAGAATGGAGTTCAAAGATAATAAACCTCTGATACAAAAATCCTTTGAAACATTCAAAATATCAAAATCCATGAAGCAGACTAAATAGCTTAATGCAAGGAATCAATACAAATCCTCACCTGCAATATTTAACTGCTCAGGGAAGAAGCATTTCTCTAGCTTGTCCTGATCACTATCAGTGTTTCCATATGGAAATTCCTTCCCAGCATTTCTCAGGAAATGCATATGTTCTTCCAAATCCCAAGAAAAATCAGGCGAGGAAACATTACCCAGGATAAGCACTGAAGATGCTGGCCAGAAGGTGCCCTCTAACCATTCGGCTTGTAACTTTTGGAAGATGTCACAGCTTTCTTGTAGCTTCTAGCAAACAGAGCTCCAAGGAGTGCTTCATGTTTGGGACAGCTGGCACCCAAGGTGGCTCAAAAAGTGTCATTGTTGGATGCACCATACCCAGGAGTAACCAGTGTTGAGTGAACAGGTTCTCGGCTCCTCTCCTCTGTCTTTCCTCTTCCTGAGAGGTACGGCCATGCAGACAGTGCAGAGGGCCTCCAGATCGGTCTTGTGGACAATGCACATTGGCACTAACTAGATGGCTTTGAGAGTCTGTAGCTCCTTCAGAGTGCATGTTACAAAAATACAGAATAATTTGTGATTTGGGGAACTTTTGAGAATTCCCAGGAATTCCAGTTTCTCATTCCAAATCCCGAAGATTAATATCTGTCAGGAATTTGGAAATTGCTCCCATAGATGTCAACTTTCAATCCAAATTTCAGGAGCTTTTCTTCTTAGCTCCTGTTGACTCCCTAGAGGTTTCTGGGTTGCAATTCGGTGCTTCTCTCACCTACAGCCCAGAAATTTTACCATAGGCATCCAACGCTCTATCCACTTAGAGTCTCTGCCTCCTCCATGCTCATGCAGGCCTTATTCTCTGCTCCCTGAAGGTTTTCTTGGTCTGATTCAGTACCCTTCCTCAACTCCAGTCACAGAGATTAGCTTCACTCTTACAACACTTCCCTTTTGCACAAGAGTTGCTTAGCTTTCTGCTTCTCCTGGGAACTAGTTCACCAAAACCATGTGGCTACTTCCAGCCCCCATTTTGTTCTCATCCAGCACTCTTTCTCCTTCTCCAGATGTTCTTTTTCCTTGCTCCTCTCCCAGATGTTCTGCTTCCTTTCACATCTCCCAGCTTTCTCCTTTTCCTTGGTCTTAATACAAAGAGTTTTTTTGTCAGCAACAGTAGGGTTGAGGAAAGCTTCTGGGGCTAACCTGGGCAAGTTTCTTCCTCCCCACTTTGAGGTTTGGTTTACAGTTGATATGAGCCCTCCTACCTGTCTGCTCAGGCAGGTGTGATATGTACATTGGCTGTTTGGCTGTAAGCTTGTCTGCCTGGCCTACATACCGCCCAGGCTGCACAAGTCAGAGTGAATCTGGGGAGGGAAGTTCCTGCCATGTCTTTCCAGAGTGAATGGTAGGTTTGGCCAGTCACTGCAAACTCTTTATCTCCTCTACTCAGAATTACTTCCATCTGAAACTCAGTTATTTAAAGGAAAACATCACACTATACCTTTGTTTTCCATGTTGACCTGTTAAATTGATTTAGTTTAACTTAGTGGAAGAATAAAGTCTAGGAAATTACTTTTCATAATAACAATGGCAAACTAAAGCATAGTATATTACAGAGTTTCCTCCTTTAATTGCCATAGTAAGTGGATGCAAAACAAAAGTTTATTTACTGTAGAACCTCACTTTGAATTAGAATAGGCTGTTCCCAGAGGAACTTTTTCCCCTTTCATGCTGAGCAATTATTTGAATGCTGATGTCAATCTGATTTATGGAGTAACTGGATGATTACGTATGCTGCAATTTCAAAAGACACTGCCATCCCTCAAAAAAAATATCTCTTTCTGTTTGCCTTTTTTTTTAAAAAAAATCCTCTGGTAGGCTTATTGAGGCTTATTGACTTGTAGGGTATATATGCAGGACTGTTGCTTAATGGTTTTAGGCAAATGAACAATAATGAAGATATTCAAGAAAGAATTTGTTTCTTAGTTCTTGAGGAAGAATGAAGTAGCATCTCATACTGAATACTGTTGCAAGAAAGATAGCAGAGGTTAATTGCTTGCAAACGTATCCTTACTGACAGTACCCCAAGATTTCTCACATGATTAATAAAGTATCTGAGAAGGTTCATGACTTGAAAGCATAAATGAGATTATAGTTTCATTCACAGTGACATTTATTGGCTTCTCTCTTTGAAGATTTCACAGAGAAAACAATATAAACAGGATTATTATTTGATACACTTTGACTAGATCCAAATAACTACTTATATATGCCTAAGGTAGTTTTGGCTCCTGTCCCGCATCCCACCTTAATTGTGCAACAGCCCTCTCTTTCAAAAGTGATTTATTATATAGAACATTGGAATGAGCATAAACTCAAAATGCATATAGGAGCGCACAGTGACAGAATGAGAATTAGCTGTCTGAGTTTGGGGAACTTGGACTTCATGCTGTATTGCTGTGGAGTTTTTTGATGTGTGTGTATGTGTGTGTATAATATATACATGTACACTGAATTTTCATCTAACATGAGCTGTAACTAACTGCCTTTCAGAATGTGCTCATGATAATGCATTGGATTGGAGCATCTGGGAAAGTTTTTGAGTAGATGGAGTTCAAGAAAACAAAACATGTATTCGTTTGTTTCTGATCCACTCAACTATCAACGATATCTGGAGAAAATGCACAGTTCACACATACTTTCTGCAGTTACCTACTTTCCCGTACTGTATTTCCCACCTTGTAGGCTTATGCAATCCTGTGGCGTGAAGTGGCTAACCACATATCTGGTTCAGTTCTCAACTATACTGTCAGACAAAGCTACTCTTTCAGTCTCTACCCACCTTCTGCAATATATAGGGATAACAACAACTGTATCTCTCTGAAATTCAAAATGAGATTGGAAGTCATTGGCTTATATAAAATAACGACTGTTTACTGCTTTTTTCCATCTCTAAATAACTTTTGTTGTAGCCTGCTTCTTGGTTGATAGAACTTCTCTGCTTTGTCATGCTCGTTTTTTTTTTTCCTGCAGTGGTCTGTATATATCCGGGCTGCCGTACGGAAAGAAAAAGGCCTGCCCATACTAGTAGAGCTTCTTCGAATAGACAATGATCGGGTGGTATGTGCGGTTGCAACAGCTTTACGGAATATGGCCTTAGACGTCCGAAATAAAGAACTAATAGGTAGGTACTAACGTGGTACTTATTGCCTTCACCCCAGCTTTGCTACAATGAAATAGAAATATGTCATTCCTGTATAAGGTTCAGTGAGAAATTAAACATGTTTAGCATTGCAGAGTATTAAGATATTTTGGGAATGGGGTTCTCCATTCTCAGTTAATCTTGAATAGCTTAAGGCTCCGAGTATGTATTTTGTGTTTATATCTTTTGAGAGAGAGGCCCCTCTGACAGTACTTACTATGTGCAAAACTGCATGTGTTTTTGAGTTTATTCAAGTGCTGTTGGTAAAAGCTGACAAAGGATAGGAAAGATGCAAACTGATGAAATGTTCCCAAGTGGAATTGGAACCAAGACCCACTGGAGGATCCCACCAGCAGGAGTACTTGTTGAGTTTTATTAAATCCTCTTGCAGCCTCCCATAACAAAGGGTTTCCCATCCCTCTGAAGCAGTTTTCAGAGGGTCCAGTGAGGTGAAAGTCGTTTTCCCATCTTCTGCTAATAGGAATGTACCAGGAGTGTAATTCTGCTCAGCTGGAAGCAAACTCAGGGTGCTGCTGTATTGTAATAATATCTCCTTTTGCATTCCTCTGGGTAATATCAACTTTTTCATTTTATCCATAAGAATTGCAAATTTAAGATGGTGGTGATTTACCATAAGGCCTCAGGCTAAAAATCAGGAGACTGTGAGTTCTAGTCCTGCCCTGGGCACCGAGCCAGCTGGATGACCTTGGACCAGTCACTCTCTCTCAGCTCTAGGAAGGAGGCAATGACAAACCGCCTCTGAAAATCTTGCCAAGAAAACTGCAGGGACTTGTCCAGGCAGTTGTCAGGAGTCAAGACTGACTCAAAGACACTTACTTACTTACTTACTTTATTTTTAAAGCTGCTGAATAGAGTTAATGTGTACATTTCTGTCTAAGACATTTTTCAATTCATGTGAAAATACACCTGACCAATAGTAATCCAAGTTAATGTAACACTTAGATTTTCACCAAGTAATACAAAGGGTCTGCTCTGTTGTAACAATAGAAAGAATGCTGGGAGCAAATACTCCTCTTTTTAAAAAGCGTTCCTATCACATCGCATCTTGGTTTGAAAGATTAATGTCCAGCTGCCTAATCATCCTGTTCCAAAGTTGTCAAACTATCATCTTCAGTTGTTATTTACAATGATTTTAGAAAACAAGAAAATTAAAGAATGACTAAGGGAGCTTTTGATTTCCAAGTAGGATATTTATGCAATTGCTACGATGCTGCTTTCATTGCTTGCAAGTTAAAGATGGGAACTTTGAAATACACTTATAAATCATGTTTTTATTAGGTTTCTGCAACATCAAGTAGCATAACGATAAAGACTCCCTCAAGCAAAGAAAGGCCCTGTGCAGATCAACCACTTTGAATTCATCTCCAGTCTAACACTTTCTAACTGATGCATTCATTCATATATTGAGCCTTGAACTACAACAGAGGTAGACAGCCTCCTTGCACAGAGAGACTTAACACTCTTTTCTCCCTGATTTTTAGGGGAAAAAATGTAGAATTGTGCAGCTGAAAATCACAGTATGCCCCCAAATCTAAGAGGCATGATCTAGAGATACTGCTAAAATGGGGCTGGGACAAAGCAACATGAGAACTGAAGCTTTGTTAAAAAATGTGTACTCATGGCCCAGAGCTCTGTTTCTGTGGCAGGGTATAGATCAAAAGCAGTCCTTCTGTGTTTGATTTCAGATCCTGCAGCCACAACCAGTATGGCCTGTGGTGAGGGATTGGGGGAGTTATACAGTAGTGCAAGACATCTGGGGAACATAAGGTTGCCACCTCCTAAAAGGGCACTCTTTTGGTAATCTGTAATCATTTAGAATTGTAATTATTGGGAAACAGTTTACCTTTTTTAAAGGAAAAATATGCCTACAATAGGTGTAAATCTGCAGTCTAGTGCAGTTTTAGAAGGCTGTACTTATTTGGGTTAAATTCAGAACCAACCTGACTTACATTAGGAATATGTAGAAGAGAATTGTCTTCTAAAAACTCCTAGCAGTAGAGCGTCTTCATCAGTGAAAGATTTGTAAGCTTGGGAACTGAGGCCTGTATTATGTCAAAAGCTGCTTCTTTTTCAGTAATCAATTCATACTACTTTTTATACAAGCTGCATAAATTTGAAGACAATAGGTTCATTTTTACTGAGATGTGATAAATGTCAGTGTACGGAACATTATGCAGATACAAAATTACATGGATATAGAGAAATATTAATATTGGAATAAAGTGGCCATTTATATGATATTTCACAATGCATCCTAGAGTTCTGGATCAATATCTGTTAATTTTTTCTCTGTCAGGTTTCTCATAATATTGCTCAGTGCAAACAATTTGCCCAATTATAAAGTAAGTTATATCTTGTCTTAATTAGGTTGTCCTAAAAAGCTACATGGCAGTGTAGATTTCCGGGTGATATTCCAATAATCTCAACTAAAAACAGGTATTTTCTGTTAAGAAACTGTATTTTCCACTCATAAGCATTTCTAAACCCCAGCAGGTCTCAGAAATATTATTACATTTCCTTTGATCTCTCATTAGTTTTGCTCTACAATTTATAGAGATCAACATCAGACTTACTTCAGAAATTATGATTAACAGATTCTCTAGTCCCCTAGACACACCCAAGTAACGTATCCTGTGAAAATATCTGTAAACCCAGCACTTTCAAAACATATTTGATATTATAAGTATATTGATATTATTCCCAAACTAACTAGTGATTACTATCTATCTTTATTTAGAGTTTTGTTAAGCCATATATTTTGGTTATCTAAAAATATGTGTAAAGGCAAACTGAGAGCCAGTCTAATGTGGTGGTTAAGGCACCAGACTAGAAACCAGGAGACCGTGAGTTCTAGTCTTGCCTTATGCCCAAAACCAACTAGGTGAATTTGGGCCAGTCATCCTCTATCAGTCTTAGGAAGAAGGCAATGGCAAACCACTTTCGAAAAGCCTTGCCAAGAAAACTGCAGGGACTAGTCCTGGTAGTCACCGGAAGTCAACACTGACTTAAAGGCCAAAAAAAAAAAAGGACTGTAAGTACAGTAAATAATTTGTATAAAGAATATAGAGATTAAAGCTGTTTTTCCAAGCTTTTAGTTTAATAGGAGTTAACAATAGAGGATATTGTTTCATTTATATGACTGGGGGGGGGTTCCCCTCTCTTTGTACCTGAATGAAAATAATGCTTTAGGGAAAGGAAAAATATGTGGTATATCATTTATTCATGGCATAAATCTGTATAAAGGGGGAGGAATATAAAGTACCCTAAAAACTAGAGCTTTCTCCTAAAATACTTCCGTTCCCATAAAACCCAAGTTAGTTAAAGTATAATACGACTTGAAAGGCTAAATTTTCTTCCATTCATATCTCTCAATTTTTCCTAAAGCTGTTATTCTTATTTGCACTTTGATAAAGCTATTTGTTCTTCATGAAAGAGGCTATTCTTTCTCTATTAATTTCTTATTGTTTATTTTAATGAAAATATTTTAGCTTCCTTTTCTAGGAGCTCAAGTTGTTTTAACAGTAAACTTACAGAATGGCCAGGGCACCATGTAAAACACACATTAGGATATAAATCCAGCTCCAAAAAAACTGAGACAGAACAATCAAATTCTTGAAGTGCAATTTGCTGCAGTAGCTGAATAACTTTCTCTTTTCAGCTGCTTGTATACATGTCTACATCCTTTCCTTTTGGTAAAAGTAAATGGATGAGGATACTAATCTACAAGATGTTGATGGTTTTACGAAATGCATTAAAGTACAATAGCTGTCACTATTCAAGTGTGAGTTTGCTGATTGAATTTGTAGAGTTTTAGGCTTAGATGAAGATGGACATCCAGCAACTCCTGGGTCACATATGTCCCTAGCATCTCTGGATTGTGCCATGAAATGTTGGCAGGAAAATAGCTAAACTTCAACAGTGCAATTTCAGGATGTATTTTAGGGATTGGGAATAATTAAGAGCTAGAGGCTTCCTACTTTCATTCCTGGTCTTAACTCATCCAGCGCCAAAAGACCGAGAGGTGAGAATGATAGCAATGATCTTGAAAATAAAAGCATCCACCAGATGCCTATCTCTGGCTCAGATTCTTAAACAATCCCATTTTAAATCTTGCAAAAGATCATTTGAGGATATAACCATCCCTCTGTTTTCTCGTGATTAAAAGCACAAGAATTCTGGGTCACCTGCTTATTTATATATTTGTTTATAAAATGTATAGCTGCTCCAATCTGTCACAACTCTGAGCAGCTTACAAAATGAACAAGAGAAAATCCAAAGATACCAAACCTAAAAAAAAAGTCCAGAGAAAAAACACCAACTAAACACCAAAACACCACAGAAGGGGTCCATCGCCCACTCGAACCCAAGGCCTGGAGGAGCAGACAAGTCTGGAAAGTGCATTTAAATAAGGTCAGGATGGAGCCACACAACTCTCAGGCGGAATATTGTTCCAGAAGGTAGATGCCATGACCGAGAATGGAATTCTTCATTCGTGATAAGTGGTCAAGCAAAGCTTATAATTTATCCTGTTTAACAAAAAAAAAAAAAAACCTTACAGTATATTAATCTACATAAATAGCAGTTGCTGTTTCAAGAACAATATATCATCTTTTTAAAAAAAACATTCAGCAAAGATCATTTTCCTAAGATACGAAATAAGAGTGAGAGAAGTGTCTTTACCATTTGCCATCAGTTCCACTTCAGAAGAATTCAGTTCAACCCACATATGGAATAACTCCCTGGAATAAATAGCATTTGAAATCATTTGTCAAATAAGATTAATAGATTATATGGTATATCATGTTATAACAATATACAAGAAATTTTCCTGCACTGTTATGTCTCTTAAAATATCACTTTCAATCTAAAATAATGACAGAATGATATTATTTTACCCTTATTGCCATTTTATAATTAACCAATTTTAGTCATTGTACAAAACTATGCCTTTCTGGTTTTGT